AGGTTTTCCCATTTCAGCTACTGTACCCCTCAGTGCCATAAGATGCACCAATCAACCCAGAGATGTGCTGGCAGGTTTTTTAAGTGCAAAGCACAGGGTTGGATAGCGCAGGTTTATCAAACATCTTAGTATGAACTTTAGGTCATGCTAAAAGAGATCAACAACTGAACTCGCTGTCATTGACTGGTCTGCTAAATATTAATGGCCTGCATTAATTGTTTTATCTTGTAACAAATAATAATTACAGACAAAAATACTTCACTTAACAGCTGGACTTCCTGACTTGAAATGTGTAATTTAAGGTAAGTTTTGTATCATATCAAGCCGTGGAAAAATGATGCAATTACCTTGTGAATTTGGATTTGGACAGATCTAACTATGTAACATAGATCTACTGACAGCTAGAGGCAAGAGCTGGTAGATGTTCAGCTGCTGCATATTGCGATTTTGTCGTGATAATCCTTTGGACTAAGCACAAGCATTTTCCTCCAGGGTTCCAGTTTTTTCATGACCTTGAAAACCTGCTGTTCCAGAGTTCAGTGTTGCAAGACTATATTGCATTAATCTAGGTGCAAGCTGCAACTCTGTTTCCTTCTATGTGGTGCATTCCCACTTTAATAGTATTACCGCCACCTATAGGGCTGGAAACAGACATTTAGTGTCCAACTCCTTTTAAATGTATTATGAATAAAATTGAAAGCCTCTGCGATTTGAAAATGTTATTTTTCTAAACTGCGATTGTATTGCAAATGCTATAAATTGCACAGCTCTATTTAGCAACTACTAATCATGCGACTCAACCTTTTTTCACACCAATTTATAATATTATTTTTCCCTCAAATTGATCTGATAGAAATGTGTGCCTTTTATTACATTGATATAATTCCACTTTTTAAGTAAAATGCCAGAAAGTTCAGCTGTTAAATAAAAAGGTTTGAGTTTATACCTGGGTTTTATATTTTTGCTCTGCAGTAAACAGATGACTAAAGCTCTGACTCATTTTCATTTCCCTCACGAGGAACTGGGGCCAAAGAGCTGAGTGTCACAGGTTCCACATTTCACCAGCCAACAGCCTGTTATCTCTGGTATTCATTTAGACCCTGTTCTTCTATTATCACTGGCCACTTTATTAGGAACAGCTGGTAAATCTGCCAATCTATGGCTGTACCTCAGTGAACATTTGCATGAGGAGGACTTCTTAAAAGTCAAACTGATCATCAGAATCTCGAAGAAACTACTATTACAAAGTACTGAAGACTCTCAGTAATCCAGCTCATAGTCATTCTAAAAAAAGAAAGTTAAAATAAATCCACTGGACTTAGTTTCCGAGTTTGAAGACGTTTCGCTTCCCATCCAGGAAGCTTTTTCAATTCAAAATGTCAGAAAAAGCGTTGAGTTGTTTTGAATGCATCTCCAAACACAAAATCCCAGAACATTTCAAACCAAACAAGACCCTTAAACAGAGACTGGTGCATCCTAAGGACAAAACCCCCAGACCTAATATGAGTGGAGTGGTGTCTGCAGTCCAATACAGTGAGGAATGCTGTGATCTTTATATTGGAGAATCCAAACAACCTCTCCACAGCCCGACACAGAGGAGCGCCCTCCTCTGGACAAGACTCTGCGGTACATCTCACCTTGTGGACAAAGGACATTCTTTTGAGGACCAGAATGTTCACATTTTGGACAAAGAAAATAGGTGGTTTGAGAGGGGCGTGAAGGAAGCCATCTATGTTAAGAAAGAAAAAACAAACTTAAACAGAGGAGGTGGACTCAGATTTCAGCTTTCAAAATACTACAATGCAGCAATTGAGTTCATTACTTCCCACCACCCCAACCCCTTTCCAGGGGAAGAGAAGACCTGACCTATTCAGCCAGGCCAACAATTCCTTTCCCCCCTTTCAGAGACATAGGCAGGTATGGGGCATTGCAGGCAAAGGGGTGGACCCATTTGTCCATTTAAAATTTTTGCATTTTTTCAAAACAAAGACAAGGCTTTGTTGGGCTACTGTATAAAACCTGGAACTCAACGTTATTTCTGACATTTTGAATTGAAAAAGCTTCCTGGATGAGAAACGTCTTCAAACTTGGAAACAAAGTCCAGTGGATTGTTTTTAACTCATTTTTTCATACTATTACCAAGAGCAATTTTTGGGAAATAACTTCTCCCATATTTACAGAGAATGATATAAAAAAGATAAATGTTGATCATGTTTAAGGATGCACCTTATTAATGTCAGAGGTAATCAGAAAATGGACAGATTTACTTCCAATGATAGAAAAGCAACAGTAGAATGACTGAAACCTAGATGAGCAGAATAAAGGCTCACTCAGTATGTCGGACCTGGAAGCGGATGAGCCCCTGTGAGCTGTTAAAGGGGGAACCGGAGGCTCCTGTTGGCACAGGCTCCCCAGAACTGGACAATAACAGACTGGAACCCTTCTGCCTGCTCCAACAGTGTCAATTTAACAGCAGTAATAAGACTGCAGACTCAGACTGTGGCACAAATGAGTAATAAATGCCTTTATTAATAGCTTGGCCTGCTGCTGCTAGTGTAATGGTGCATCTTCTTGGCATACTTTGGGCCCCCTAGAGCCAGATGGTGATTAAATTCTCTAAATACTGTTGCTGCCAAAGTCCATCGCTTTATTACCACATCTTCTGATAACTTCTTCCAGCAGGATAATAAACCCAGTCACAAATGATCTCAAAATTGATCCGTCAACATGCTAGGAAGCTCACTGTTCTCCAGTGGTCTCCATGGTAACAGTCAGCAGGACTAATAGAACCTCAGCTATGCAGTGGAACGTGAGGGTTGCAGCTGATATATTAGCACTGACTGCGTGATGTTATGTCATGTCGACTAAATTCTTTAAAGCCTTTTGAATTTGTGGTATTAAGGACGGATGCAAGTCAGAAGGCCAAAGGCAGCGGGCAAACTACCTGCAAGATGTTCCTAATAAAGTGGCCGTTCATTGCTATGAAGACACGATTTTGCCAAAATGGCACAAGCATTATAAACACTTATACAAGCAGTTTTATGTAAAACACATGCATGTAAAATTCTCTCCACATGTATTTTTCAACGTTTTATCTGTCAGACTGGTTACCATGAAGCCCCCAATACGTCACCAGCATGAGTCAAAGAAACCATGGCTTGTTTGTATGCTCTTGTAGATTCTGTCCTACGTAAATATGGACCGTTTTCTGTGGCGTTTGTCTTTTTGAGGGTGAAACCAACCAACCAATGAAAGTAACTGGCCTGTAATGGCTGGTTAAAGGATATCCCGCCTTTTGAGACAGTCCAGTTTTCTAGTTGCTACCAGCAGCGTTAGCAAAGCATCTTCAGGCTAAGTGGACTCATCATTAAATAACTAAGTTTAACACAGTCGTAAATTTACCCTGACAGCAGTAGTAATGTGATGTAAATGATGAATGTTAAATTTGGAGCTTCATTTGAGCTAAGCTAAGATTAGCTGCATTGTTTATATTGAGGAAATTGAGGCTTGAATGAACTTTTGTTTATACCCGAACACAGACATTTACATTTCCAATCAGTTGCAGCTGCTGTTAAGCCTTTTTTCTATTACAACAGAGCATTAACTCATTCTTGTTATTATACTGGGGGCTTAAGGTAATGAATCTGCACACATGAAATATTCAAAATGCATGTGGAGAGTAGTTTACATGTGTGTTTAAACCAAACTCTTTTTTTTATTAAGCATCTGTCCTTTGAGCAAAATTCAGACTTCATTCAGAGCAATTTTTATTTTCACATTTGCTCATTTTGTGACTGTGGTTCTGCTGGAGGTTTCCTCCTGTTCAAAGGGAGTTTTTCCTCTCCACTGTCTCTACAAGCATGCTTAGTGTGAGGGATTGCTGAAGAGTCAATGAGTCGATGCAATCAACTGGTTTTCCTTAAATAGAAAACTTTGAATCAAACTGACTGGATGATCCGTAGAACTGTAGAGTGCCTTGAGATGACGTGTTGTGAATTGGCGCTATAGAAATAAACTGAATAGAATTAAAATTTTAACTGTCCGTGTTTACAGTGTTTTGCACAAACTAAGCTCTTCATTAAACAGATTTTTAAGAAATTTCTACCCCTAGGCACCCTTGGACCAGAGGAATACAAAAGGAGTGCTGGAATTTTAAAGCTGCATTCTCAGTGAAACAAAAAATGAAAGTCTGCTGTTGAGTAATAAAACGTCTGCTTCTTTTTAGGATGTCTGCAAAGGCGACACACGCATTCACATTCAAACAGATGTTTAGGTCTTACACTTAAAGACAGGAATAATCCCCTGATTCAGGTCTTAAAGAGCAAATCGCCAAAAAACTACAAATTCATACATTTTCTTTCCTTTTTGTAGGAAAAAAAAACATGAGGAAAAGATCAATATTCCTTTTGTTGGCTCTGAAATGCGGTGATTCCTCTAAAAGCACCTCTAAATCCAGCCCTACACAGCTGCTGCATTCCGAGTTTAATTATTTGTTTTCGATGCAAAATGAGGAAAAATTTATGAATTGAAGGCTCACTTTAAGACCTGACATCTCAAACAAACCCTCCCCCCGTTGTCACGGTAACCACCCCAACCATAGGGTCAGAGGTGGTAACCAACAGTCAAAATACAAACCACTGGGATGATGTCATCAGGGTAGGTGGATTATTATAACAACGAGTAGTGAGCTGCCATGCCCCATTCATCACACTCGCATACTGCGAAACCCAACAGGCACTAAGGCTTGGGATAAAGTAAGCGCTCCCCATGGTGTGTTCTCTTTTGCCGATGAGCATCGCTGCACCTGAACGCAGCAGCGGCTCACACACTAACTAGTTAGCACCAGTCAGTGTATTTGGATCATTCCTTTTCTCAGAGAGTCTCGTGGAGAAAAGAACTGGGCGAGCGGGGAGGGAAACAGTATGCTAGGCAGCAGGTTAGTAGTGTGAATGGTACATGGCAGTGCAGGTTGGCTGGCATTGTTATACTGATCCACCCACCTTAATGGGGATCCTTTGGGCGTGGCGATGCCGTAGCCTTTGGAGTCCAGGTTTCCTCCCACTTTCATGGTGTCGCAGGGCTTCCTCTGCTCGATGTACTCGTTCATGGTGGACTCCAGCAGGTAGGCGTACTTCCCTTTGGACTTCCGCACACGCTGGACGCCCTCCGACGTTTTCTTGACAAACACGGACGGTTCTGCGGATTTCATGTACTGCCACATCTTGTCAAACAACGCGATTTTGGAGCGCTGAAAAAATGTAGAAGATGGGTTCATTTCTGTTAAGGGGTTGTAGATCAGAGGTAGGCAGAATCTAGTTACACTTCCTCAAAGGCACACCACAGACTTTGTGACCCAAAGAGTTGACGCATCTGAGTTATCTTAAATGATTTCTCAGGCCAATATATACAGCGCTTGACACTATCAATGCTACCAGCAGGGCTCCCCTCTTGTATTACTGACTACGTAAGTTTGGAGATGACCGACCGTCAGTGGCCAGGTCATGTGATCTGGAAGAATGTATCCCCTTATGGCCACAGGCTCTTACAGAAGCAGCCACTCAAAGTGGCCCTTCCCAGTCAAATTCCAGCTGAACGGCAAAACACTCCCCTGCAACTCCCAGTAAAATCCCCTTCATGAACCAAACATATTTTTTACTCTGACTCCACCTTTTCACTGACTTACAAGGTCTGACCAGGAGATGACGCTTCTCTTTAGATCTTAATGTGCACAAATCATGACAGAATGAATATTTTAGTACAAAGATGATTGTTTAAAAACAAATTGTAGGGGACCAGCCAAGGAAAGTGGGGAAATTTTGAATGGCTACTAGCTTTTGCTCTACTATTTTTCTGCCTGCTGGACTACTCGTCATTGCTGAGACAAGGAAAAACTTTAAACCTTTTGAAGAGGCTAAAAAGAGAAAACGTGAAAGGGATCGTGCCTGAGGAAAAACAAGAGTCAATCTTGGAAAGGAGTTTGTTGGCACAGGCTGAAAGAAGAAGCCCGATTCTCTTTTCTCAGCTTTATTATTAAACTGTTAACAGTCCTCCCCTTCATGCCATGAAGGAGCCTGTGTGACTCATTCTTATCTCTCATGACCTGAGAGAGGCTAAGAACAGACATTTTTTACTCCACAGCAGACACAGCATCCCAAAGAAGGTCCACCTGAGCTATGTGGAAGAGCCATGAGGAAATCCTCTTACAGCCAATCCCATAATACAGGACCGCCCCCTGAGACGGATCAGGAATCTGTATCCGTCTGAACAGCGCAGAGGTTACTGTTCCCCACAGGAGATGATTGTTCATATTCTGATTAAAAGTAGGCTTTACTAATCTTACGATGCATCAGAATATGATGAACCTTTGAAGACTAAATGATGAGGTAATTAAGGCATCAAACTCTTCCTAATTGATACCCGTTAGGATGAATCCCTGTAGAAGAAGAACTCACCCTGAAGAACTCCTTGGTGGACCCAGAGTCCAGCGTCCCGTATGCGATCTCTGTCTGCTTGGCCAGGTCCTCAGCGCTCTCAATGGGAGACACCATTCTCTCCACTGTCAGGAAGGCAGCCAGGTTGGCGGTGTACGATGAGATGATGATGAGCGTGAAAAACCACCACACCCCTCCAACTATACGACCCGATAGAGACCTGCACACAACACAGAACAGTTCAGGTTCTGCTGGAGGCAAATGGTCTCCCAACAGGGTTCCCTATAAACACAGCATGAGAACATGTCAAATAAACAGAGAAAGACTAAACAGAGAAAGACTAAAGGAAAGAGTCTAATATTGAAGATTACAAAAAGATTATATCTGTGCACAAATATGATCTCTTTTAGTTTTTGGTGCACTAATAAAGGGCGATAAAGGGCAAGAGACACTGAGAGGCATTCTGAACCATTTAATTAGTGTTCCCAAAAGAAAGCATAACTTAAAATACAAAAGCAACAGAAAGTAGAGTAACAGAGTATTGAAAAAAAACTGAAAATGTTATTTTGTTCCTTATTTATTGCAAAGAACGAGCCCTCTATGGGGCGACACACTGGACAGGTCATCAGGCCATAACAGGCTAACACAGAGATAGACCACGCAGATTCTCTCAACTTACTACATGTAGTGAGGACCATGTGTTGACCGACCATTGATTTTTATTTTCAACCCTTTCTATGCCCTAACCCTGAAAATAACCCTAAACCTAAGCATTACCAATGCATACCTCAGCCTAACCTGAACCTGCCTTTGCAACAACCGGTCCTCAATGTGATGCTGAAATCTGAACGATGGTCCTCACTTTGATAGCCAGACAGGAGCACTCACACCTAAGGTCAATGTCAAGAAGCCAGTTAACCTAGGATTGTGGGAGGAAACTGGAGTACCGAGAGAGAAGGTTGTGTGTCTTTATGTGTCTCTGTTGCGCTGTGATAGACTGGCGGCCTATTCTGGGTGGACCCTGCCTCTCACCCAGTGACAGCTGGAGATAGGCACTGGCTCCACTATGACCATGACAAGGACTAAGTGGGAAAGAATTTACATTATCTTTTTATTTTCTTTTTACAGATTTGATCCTTTCTGTTTTAAATTTTTATACTTTATATTCTAACTTCTCTTACATATTTGACATTTTCACTTTTTATTTTTTAATGTTCCTTTTTTCAGATTTTGTTTTACCAGTTGCATTCTTTTGAAATTGCATTTAACAGATCAGATTCTCTTCACTGAGAGCCCAATTCAAACACTCACTCAACCAATGAAAATGTTGCTGTAACGACCAATAGAAATGCTTGTTCGCCCATCACAGAAGAAAACCCCCACCACACTAGAAAATATGATCTGAAACAGATTGAAATTCATTAAACTTAATCTGACATCGGAAAAATTAGCAAAAAAAATCAATTTGGAAACATAAAAGGAAAAATAATCAGAAAAAATGAAACCTGAGAAAACTGTAAAGTTAGTCTCAAAAACTTTTTTTTAACCAATAAGTTTTTAAGTTTCCATTTCTCAATGGTATTTTTTTTTCATATTTCCTTTTTCATCCTGTACTCAGAGAAGAAAGATAAAGGGTCAGATCCTCATTTGAACAACAGACAGGAAACAGAAAAGAAATCAGTGGTTTTATGTCCTACCAACCTTGGTGAAATATCACAGCCCTGTCGCATGAAAGCACCCAGGGAGAACCACAGCGAGTTAAAGATCCCAAACTCATTGGTTGATTCGGTCGTCAACGGCAACGCCCCGTCCTCTGGCTCCTCCAGTGTCCACTCGTAGGGGCTGAACCTCGACACCTACAGGGAGAAACCTCTCCGGCTCCATTAACAGGTCAGAGTTTAAGATGCCTCCCATCTAAACGAGTCAAACATTAGTCAGCATCAATCAACACACCATTTAGTATTTTAATTAGAAGAAAATGGAAGAAATAACTGTAAATCTAATTAAACTCATTCATTCATGTTCATGTTCGCCAAACCAGTCTACATGTGCCTAGTGGACTTGGAGAAGGTGTTCGACCGTGTCCCTCGGGGAGCCCTGTGGGGGGTTCTCCAGGAGTACGGGGTGCCGGGCCCTTTGATACGGGCTGTCAGGTCCCTGTATGACCGGTGTCAGAGTCTGGTCCGCATTGCCGGCAGTAAGTCGGGCTCGTTTCCGGTGAGAGTTGGACTCCGCCAAGGTTGCCCTTTGTCACTGATTCTGTTCATTACCTTCATGGACAGAATTTCTAGGCGCAGCCAAGGTGTTGAGGGGATCCTTTTTGGTGGCCTTAGGATTGCGTCTCTGCTTTTTGCAGATGATGTGGTCCTATTGGCTTCATCAGGTCGTGATCTGCAGGTCTCGCTGGATCGGTTTGCAGCTGAGTGTGAAGCGGCCGGGATGGGCATCAGTGCCTCCGAATCCGAGGCCATGGTCTTGAGCCAGAAAAGGGTAGAGTGCCTTCTCCGGGTCAGGGCGGGTGTCCTGCCCCAAGTGGAGGAGTTTAAGTATCTCGGGATCTTGTTCACGAATGAGGGAAGAAGGGAGCGGGAGATCGACAGGCGGATTGGCGCAGCGTCTGCCGTGAAGCGGACACTGTACTGGTCCGACATGGTGAAGAGAGAGCTGAGTCAAAAAGCGAAGCTCTCGATTTACCGGTCGATATACGTTCCTACCCTCATCTAATGTCATGAACTCTGGGTCATGACCGAAAGAATGAGATCACGGATACAGGCGGCCGAAATGGGTTTCCTCCGTAGGGTGGCTGGGCTCTCCCTTAGAGATAGGGTGAGAAGCTCGGTCATCCGGGAGGGACTCGGAGTAGAAGATGGATGGCATTCATTAGGTGAACAAAGCAGCAGAGCTGAGTTTCTGTAGAACATGAAGCTCTCTGCAGATTTACTTCCTGTCCAGTTCCCTTTAGATTTCTAATGATATTTTTAGTGCAATGCATTTTAAAACTCCTCACCCTCCTGCTGTCTCCTTGTTGGGCAAACTGTTGGATTACCTGTTGGCAGGTCTCTTTGACTATGGCTTCCTCCCAACCCCTTTGTGGCATTCCCTGTCCCAGTGCTGCTAATTAGAACATCCTCTCTGATCCTAACTCTCATCTGGGTCTGCATGTAGGAGCTCAAACACCAGCTATGTCATTCCTCTTTCTTTTGAATTAACTCATTTCTTTTTGTTGAAATCTGAACTAAAATCCTGGTTGTTATTATGTGGCATAAAATCTATATCCATAGATTTAATGAAAAAATATATATGTTCAATGAATGTACAGTAGCAATTTCCAGAAAAGATGACAGAAATGACCAGCCAAGGACCAGCTAATGACCAGCTAATGACTAGCCAATGACAAGCCAAGGACCAGCCAAGGACCAGCCAATGACCAGCTAATGACTAGCCAATGACAAGCCAATGACCAGCCAAGGACCAGCCAATGACCAGCTAATGACCAGCCAAGGACCAGCTAATGACCAGCTAATGACTAGCCAATGACAAGCCAATGACAAGCCAATGACCAGCCAAGGACCAGCCAATGACCAGCTAATGACCAGCCAATGACCAGCTAATGACCAGCCAAGGACCAGCTAATGACCAGCTAATGACTAGCCAATGACAAGCCAATGACAAGCCAATGACCAGCCAAGGACCAGCCAATGACCAGCTAATGACCAGCCAAGGACCAGCTAATGACCAGATAATGACTAGCCAATGACAAGCCAATGACCAGCCAAGGACCAGCCAATGACCAGCTAATGACCAGCCAATGACCAGCTAATGACCAGCCAAGGACCAGCTAATGACCAGCTAATGACTAGCCAATGACAAGCCAAGGACCAGCTAATGACCAGCTAATGACTAGCCAATGACAAGCCAATGACCAGCCAAGGACCAGCTAATGACCAGCTAATGACAAGCCAATGACAAGCCAATGACCAGCCAAGGACCAGCCAATGACCAGCTAATGATCAGCCAAGGACCAGCTAAAGACCAGCCAATGACCAGCCAATGACCAGCTAATGACAGCCAAGGACTAGCTAATGACCAGCCCATGACCAGCCAATGACCAGCTAATGACCAGCTAATGACTAGCCAATGACAAGCCAATGACAAGCCAATGACCAGCCAAGGACCAGCCAATGACCAGCTAATGATCAGCCAAGGACCAGCTAAAGACCAGCCAATGACCAGCCAATGACCAGCTAATGACAGCCAAGGACTAGCTAATGACCAGCCAATGACCAGCCAAGGACCAGCTAATGACCAGCCAATGACCAGCCAATGACCAGCCAATGACCAGCTAATGACAGCCAAGGACTAGCTAATGACCAGCCAATGACCAGCCAAGGACCAGCTAATGACCAGCCAATGACCAGCCAATGACCAGCTAATGACAGCCAAGGACTAGCTAATGACCAGCCCATGACCAGCCAATGACCAGCTAATGACCAGCCAAGGACTAGCTAATGACCAGCCAATGACCAGCCAAGGACCAGCTAATGACCAGCCAATGACCAGCCAATGACCAGCTAATGACAGCCAAGGACTAGCTAATGACCAGCCCATGACCAGCCAATGACCAGCTAATGACCAGCCAAGGAGCAGCTAATGACCAGCCAAGGACCAGCCAATGACCAGCAAATGACCAGCCAAGGACCAGCCAATAACCAGCCAATGACCAGCCAAGGACCAGCCAATGACCAGACAATGACCAGCCAATGACCAGCTAATGACCAGCCAAGGACCAGACAATGACCAGCCAAGGACCAGCTAATGACCTGCCAATCATCAGCCATGGACTAGCCAAGGAAGGTGGGGAAATATTGAGTAGCTACTACTGTAAGCCTCAATTCTTACAGAACGCTCCAATGTGACTCACCAAAAAGAGAACGACGCTGACTCCAATGTAGGCAAAGACGATACACATCCAGATTTCATAGGCCAGGGGGTCCAGGAAGGAGAAGACTCCTGGTTTGGACTTCTGAGGCTTTTTGATCATGATGGAGATCCCCAACGACATGAAAGGTTTGGAGAAGTCAATCACCTCCTCCCGAACGAGAGTGATCGTCAGTGGGGCGACTGCTATGTCTGCTTTCTGTTGAGGAGGGAAAAACACAGAGTCAGTTAAAATATCTGTGCTTTCCTCGGTTTAAATATATCTGATCCAAACTGTCCTCTAAATTTTATTATATTTTACCAACGTTTCCATTAGCCAGACCTCAGAATGACATCCCTCCCAGTTAAGACATATTCTAGCAATACCAGAAGATGTACAATGGTTTTAGTTTGATTGATTTATTAAAGGGTTAAATAATTATTAAAGTAGGACACCTTCAGATTTCGAAGTGTTAGGTTTTGGTTCCATTTTACATTTGTGACATGAAACTAGAACTGGAACTTATGAAAACAGCTCAAATTAATCATAAAACAACTTTATCTAAGTGAGAGTCTACACCAGCATGTGAAGCCCAAAACTAGCTCACCCGTTGGCAGGTTTTAGCATTTTATTGATTTATGAAGTTTTTTTTTTTCTTATACAGACATAGAAAAAATGTAAAAGAAACTTATATTTACAAAAAAAGATATGTTTTTAAATGAGCTTTGTTAAAAAAGAAGAGATTCAGACAGCTGCGGAGAGTGCTGACCAACACTTCAATCACTGCACTGGCTCCCTGTTGACCCATTTTAAAAATCTGCTCCTAATCTATAAAGCACCAAATAATCTAGAGACCAGATTATTTAATGTTCCCAAGATCAGAGCTAAACGACAAGAGACAGCGTTTATTTTCTATGTGCAGAAGCTGAAGTTTAAAAAACAGGTTTTGTGTCTAGATTTGGATGAGAAACCTGTTGAAATTAACGCTATAGTTTAAGTTGCCATAATATAAACACAAGGTCCTAAAAGGACACGGAGGTGGAGCCAACAGATGGCTGAACAGAGTAAGAGAAAAAAAATGTATAGGCTCCATGAATCAAACCATTTTCCTGATTGCTTTTTGGATGTTTCCTCTAGAAAACTTTATCCATGGTAATGAGCTCAGGGTCATGGAAGTTGGAAGATTGAATCTAGATCACTTCAGCATGTTTACAGAAAAAATTAAACAACAAAATACATGTTGATGAAAGTCAAAGATTAAATCAAAATCTGCTCACAGGAAGAACATTTGGGGGTTAACTGTAAATAAATGATAAATTTTAACACTAAGGCACCTAAACTCAATAAAAACAAACACTTAATGCATAAATTAACAAAGAAAAAGGTTTAAAACTGGATCCTGACCCATAGTCTGTTCTGATATTTTATCTTAACTCCATCTCACAATCTAATAGCTTTAGATCTACCTGTGTGAGTCTGCAGCTTACCCCATACACCAACTCTCCAACCATCCCGTTCCAGATCTTGGTCTCAGCATCTCGGGCTCCATACTTGCCGTCCCCTACTATCCGGAGCTTGTAGCGTATTCCGCAGTGCTTTGCGATCTCTGCGGCCAGGTCGACACAGTAACCTGAAACAAAAGATCACAACGAATTTAAAGACAAATAAAGAAATAACTTGCAAATATCACAAGAAACAAGACATCCTGTGCACCATGAGTTGGTGTCATTAAGTGTAGCCTCTTATCCTGTCATGGTTTGAAAAAAATCATTAGTTTCCAATAAAAAAATAAAAATAGCCTCAGGAAACATTCTGGATTAGTGTGGAAATGTTACAGAGTATCTATTAATGTAAAAGCAAACGGTACGATGTTTGTTACCTTTGAGCATAGGTGGAAAGTAACAAGTATATTTACTTTGTTATTGTACTGAAGTACTTTTTTTTTTAGAGTGCCTTTTTGGGGGGGGGGGGTTCTTTTAGCTGAACTTAGCTTTATAATCCTCTGTTGCTGTTTTTCTGTCTTGAAATGTGATTCCATCATGGCAGATAGCAGCCCTGAGGACTGAATCTGGATGCCACGGTTTTAGAGACTTAATGACGTTCCACAAAAGTGAGAAACTCAGAGCAGATATTATTAGTGTTAGTTGTTGCCATGTGACCAAGTTTTTCAGTAAGATGAGTCTCAAAGTAGAGTTGTAGTTTCTTTGTGGTAATAGATTCAGCCTTAACCTCTATTGCATAGAGAAAATATGAGGAGAATCAAGACTCCCCTGTTTTCCTTTTTGGTTTGTTTTTTCCATAATAAATAATAATCACAATACTGTCTTTATTTTGTGTGGTCTTTCTATGCTGAAGTTCTTTCCAGGTGGTGTACAATCTATAGCATGTGGTTTTTTTTATTCCTTTATTTAACCAGGAAAAGTCTAATTGAGATTAAGAATCTCTTTTTCAAGGGAGTCCTTCTATGCATCAATACATCAGTTGGTTTCTGAAAGTTACAGGTTCCTCAAAATTACTCTGAATATTCTACAGACATTTACTCATACTAGAAAATTTTATTTGTACTTTTGAATACTTAAGTACTTTCAAAAGTGAGTACTTCAATACTTTAACTAGTAGATGTTTGCCTTAGTAACTTTTACTTGTAGCTGAGTAAGATTTGACTCTTCAATTCAGTTTATTTCTATAGCGCCAATTCACAACACACGTCATCTCAAGGCACTTTACAGTTCAACCAGATCATCCAGTCAGAGTGATTCAAAGTTTTCTGTCTAAGGAAAACCAGCTGATTGCATCGACTCATTGACTCTTCAGCAATCCCTCACACTAAGCATGCTTGTAGCGACAGTGGAGAGGAAAAACTCCCTTAGAACAAGAAGAAACCTCCAGCAGAACCAGGCTCAGTGTGAGCGGCCATCTGCTGAGGCCGACTGGGGTTTAAGGAGACAGAAGCAGACTATACAGACTATGAGTATCAATACTTTTACTCAAGTACTACTCTTGAGTACTTTGTCCACCGCTGCTTATAAGCATCACTGGGACATTTAGTAGAGTAGCAACATCAGATAATGAGTATACTGTGAGTATGAAAGGAGAAAGGGCTTAAAGAAAGTCCTTTAAACTATGGCTCCATGTTCCGCAATGCAGATTAGACTCACTGCCATATTTGTGACACGAAGCGTGAGCCAGCAGTGGGAATTCCTCTAAACACAGCAGCTATCTGGTTAAGCCTGAAGAGTTCACCATTTTCCACAGCCTCAGATCTACAGCTACACCTGCTCCATATGCACCGTTAGCATCTTTTAGCGACTGACATTCAATAAAGAAAAATCTGTTCTATTAAACAAGATGGAGATCAGTGGTCTTCATTTAAGCAGGATTTATTACCAGATAGTACTGAACAGATATGTGTTGAGTTTGGACATAAAAAGGGTGATATCTGTAACAGTGCAAACATCCGGGCGTAACTTATTCCAGAGTCTCGAGGCAGCACCTGCAAAAGCCTGATCACCCCACAGTTTATACTTTCACCTTGGGACTTCTAAGATCACCTGACTAGAAGACTGCATTAACTGGATTAAAGTTAACATTTTGGCCAAATAATCTGGGGCAAGATTATTTAAAGCTTTAAAAACAAATAAAATCTATTCTAAAACGCACAGGGAGTCAGTGCAGGGGGTAAAGAGCGGGGGTGATTACACACTGCTGGATTTATTTGTTAAAAAACGAGCGGCAGCATTTTGAACAAGCTAAACAGGTGAGATGGACGTCTGCCATGTAAAGGACATCCCTAAGAACAATCAGGGTTCATACCTTCATAACGGTCGTTGTCTTGAAACAGCTCAGCGTTCTTCTTTAGCATCACATAAGGAGCCTCCTATGAACACAAACACACATGATGAGCAGGCACAGCATGTCAGCTTCATTCAGGACAAATACCAAAGCCAGAAAAACTAATTAGTGGACAGCTTATTATTTGATGCTAAATAGTTTTATTATGCTAAATGTTTGTCTATTATTAATCAGTAAGGCTGTTTAGTTTCCCTAAACAGTTTCACATTTAAAAATGAATGGATCTTTATGATGATCAACAGATTCAAGCAGCTGGATTGGCTCCTGTTGCATTGGAGAGCATGGGTACCCTGCTGCAGGGACAACCTTAACTATGCTATATCCCACTGATCTGGATAGAGCAGGTGGTTAAAACCAGCAGGCAGGAAGGAACCCTTGGACCGCTGCCTGGGACGGGACTGGGAGAACCGTTTACAATAGAACCAGAACCCATGCAGGAGTGCACAGCAAAAACGATCTAGAGGTAATTTGTAAATTAAGTGTATTTACCCTTAAGTTGAGTAGGTACAAGACAATACATATATTTTTTCTTATTTGAAATGTAAATTGTCTTGTTCCATTCGCAGCGTGTCTTAGATGTTATTAAAGAGCTGGTTGTTAAAAGCAGAGAGGATTGGTGGAGTTACTAATCAACCCAAAGTTTCCAGCTCACCAACGTGGCTCCATTAAAAACTCATAACCACAAATCAGAAAGATTAAGAATTCATTTCTCCAACTCTTTATTCGTTCCTCCACAGAATCCTAACGTTTGTTTGCATGCAAAGCCTGGCCTGTGAGGCCAGTCTGTTTATTAGCAAGATAAGGATGAACCTTTGCTTCAAAAGTCAGATTTAAAGAGTGTTTAATCAATAAGAGATCACCTGCACGGCCACCTTCACCTGTTCAACCTCACAGTAAGCCTGTGGTCGACAACTTGACCCTTTTATTGAGATCAGACATTTTCCAAATCACAGGAAGTATTTCCGTGAAACCTGAGGCTATATTACCTGAATAAAACAGCTAAGGATCTCTTAGATTACTGCACCCACCTCCAATCAAAAACTCCTCCTGAGGAAAAAAGCATTCAACTATGCAGTTCAGTTAAAAAAACATCTATCAATTTTGCTCAGCCAGCTTTAAGTTTACTTTGCAAAGTGAAAAGAGAAGAAGACAACCACCCTGACAGCATGACGTTCAGCCTTGTTCTGCCTAGACAGCGTTTGTCTCTCACTAAATAACCCTGCAGAAAGGCTGTGAAGGTCTCCACACACTGAAAAAATAATGCTACCACATTTAGCATTTACTTAATCATATTTAGTTACTTTAACACAATTGTTTTATGTCCTAATCTGCTAACATGAAACAACTGTGTTAAAGTAACTAAACCTGATTAAGTAAATATTTTTTACATTACATGTCTCTACCCAAACAAAGAAATAACTCATAATGTTATGAAATAATTCCAGAGAAACAGTAGAAAAGATTCCTAACAGGATAAAAAACTTCTCTCAATTAGAAACTTTGTGGCCTTGCAGCTCTGAGGCCTAAATGAATGAAACACAGCTCTAATAATCAATAATCAAAAAAGAGAATTAATAGTTGATTTTTCCCACCATAGTTGCCAGAGGGCGCTGTTCTAAGATCAGTTTGGCAAATAAAAAAAGCCTGAACATATTCATCTGTTAATAAACAGTAAGTCCTTTCTGCACATTAATAAGTGTAATATTCAGTAAAGCAGGTATGTGTGGAAATAAATGAAAAGTAACTGCCTGTTTTTTAAAGACAATATTGAGACAAAAACATAAAGATATTAATAAAATTGTTCTGCTCTGACATAAAGCCAGCTATCTGTTGGCTGCCTACATGCAGCTTCATGCATGGGAACTGAACCAGTGGAAGCAGGTGTTACCAGTATAGTTGTAACGATGACGGTCTTGTTCTCCATTCCCATTGTGTCGTTATTGTAAAGCTCAGACTTTGTCAGCACCATCCTGTCCACTTCATTCCAGTAGCCGATCTGGAAGCAAAAACAACCCACCAGTTATTATTTCATCCTGCCTAGAAACGCTGCACACAATAAATGAGTCAGTTACCTTCACAGGTCCGTTGTTCTTCAGCTCCATGATGGTCACAGAGTAGTTGATCCGCTTCCCATACTGGTCAAACTGAATGTTTCCAGTTAAGCCATCTGCACGTACCTGAAGACACCAAATGATCAGAGATGGAGCTGAATATCTCTGCAAGACCAAGAACTGAGGGCAGCTTATTTTTCAATCAGGTTTATCACTGAAATGGAGGAAAGGAAAGAAAAAAATGTTATCATCTCGACCTAAGAGAAATACTCAACATCTTGCTCGAATGTATAAAAAACATAAGTTTACAGCAATCAGCCTCTGCAAAGCTGAGAAATAATTTTATGAAGGTGGGAAGCAAGGAGTAGAGAACCAGTGGGACCTTGGACCTCCCTCTGATAATCAAACATATGAAATTAAATTAAATATCATGATCATACTGAACTTTTAGTTCAATATTAGGGATTTAATTCTAATCCACTCCATTTAAATGCAGATACATTGTATTGTATCAACCATATGTCCACCGTCACTTTACCTGTTATTATTGCATATCTATTGTATACTTCACTCATACCTATTTAAATCTGCAATAATTTAATACAATCAATCATTTGCACAGAACTTTACTGTTGTCACTTTATACCAGTGTTGCCTTGTCTGTCTGTATATACTTAATGTGTATATATATATATATATATATATATACATATATATATATATATATATATATATATATACATATATATATATATATATATATATATATATATATATATATATATATATATATATATATATACATATATATATATATATATATATATTTTTTTTTTTATACTTTGTATTCTTCTTCTTCTTTTTTCCTACTGTACTGTGATGCAACGCTGCAATTTCCCCACTGTGGGACAAATAAAGGATTATCTTATCTTATCTTATAAAGAAATGGAACGGCAGTTGTTTTTGTTTTTTCCTTTTACTTAAAGAGATAAATGAACAGGAAGTGTACCGTTTGTTTTCTTTAGTGTTTGTGTTTCACAGTCAAATAAGAAAAAGGAAAATTATATTTTGTAATTAGAATCATACAAAGAGAGACTTGGACTTTCTGTTTGAACCTTAAATCATGGTTTTAATGTCCGGCCTATCAGTGGCAAACATCTCAATGTTTTCCATCTTATTTACTGGATGTTTAAAATTTTAAAGACTCTTTGAAAGAACAGAAATACAGCATGTTCTGCAGATGGAAATGCAGAGGAGAAATCAATGCATGTATGAACAAAATGTTCTTTGGCTGAATAAAAACAAAGTAATAGTTTTTGGACCAAAGGAAGAGTGTTAAAAGTTAGCTCTTAGCTTCAGTTATGGACTCAGTCCTGAACCATCAGAGGCTCATAAAGACAGGAACAAACTCGGCCTTCTATCACCTGAAGAAGAACATCTCTAGTATTAAAGGACTACTTCCTGCTTTGTTCATTTTTGGTAGAATTGATCCCTGCAGCGGTGTCTTTACAGGTCTGGCTAAGAAGTAGATCAGACATCTGCAGCTGATCCAAAACGTTGCTGCCAGCAGCCTCATTAGAACCAAGAAAGTAGAGCACATCAACCCAGTTCTAAAGTCCTTCACTGGCTCCCTGTAGCTCAGAGAATAGACTACAGACCTGTTGTCAGGAGGTCAAAGGCCAGACCTCTCAGTTCTACAGGATCAAATCTACTCTACAGAACCAGAACCCCAACTAAACCCGAAGAAGCAGCTTTTAGTTTTAATTTCCCTCTAATCTTGAACAAACTCACCCAAATAAAAATGCTGAAGCTCATCAGTTGCTTAAACTTAAGATTAAACAAGTATTTTTTAGTGTGACCTTTGTGTGTGAAATCTAAACATTATTAGTTATAAGTTTGTAGTTAAATGGTCATTTTATTACTACCCATTTGATTATTCATTTCTTATAATAATTTTATTACTTTAAGAATTTAAGTTTATTCTTAGAATAGAATAGGAAATCCCTTTATTGTCCCACAATGGTGTTTATAGCAACAAGAAGATCGTAGAAAAGAATATAAAAAAAATGTATAAGAATAACATGAGAGTGAAGAGTTAAAAGATAAACAATAAAATACTGTTAAGTGTTTTAACAATATAAAACTGTGCGCCTGGAGAATTAATAACCAATATGCAGCTATGGACATTTTTACAGTAATGGATATTTGAAAATAGCAGCAACATCAGAGATGTGCAGAATGACAGCAGCATGTTATTTAACTGACTAAGGTAGAAACTGTTCAAAATCATCACGAATGGATGAACCTATTGAGGTTGTTGGGAACAGTGGTGGTTCTAGAGTCTTCCAGCTGCTGGGAGGAAGGATCTGTGATAACGCTCCCTGGTGCATTTAGGGTGCAGCAGTCTGTCATTGAAGGAGCTCTCCAGTTCAGCACCAGCTTCATGCATGGGGTGGGAAACATTATCCAACAGAGATGCTCATTTAGTTATAATCCCTTTATCCACTTTAATTATTCCTGTTTATTAATTCTCTAATTAGCTTTATGCCAGTGCAATGTCTCTCAATCTCTCCTGTCTATTCAGCATGTTGAATTGTTTTACTCCTGGATTCTACTATATAAATAAACCTGCCTTAGACCTTTCCCATCGTAAGAACTGCCCAGTCCATAGCTACCTGTTTCAGAGCCCGTTCGATCTCCACGCCTTGTGCCCAAGGCACTGCTGGGTTAGCTAGGCAGTCCCCACTGTTGCCACGGCGACTCATGTCTATCCTCTGCTTGTGCAGGAAGCGGAATGCCTCAGTCATCACATGGACTGCATCATAGGTGAGGGCTGAGGTGTACTATAAGAGAGGAGAAATCATGACTTATTTGCAGCGTATCTCTGTGAGGCGCGTAGCAACGGTTTGAAACCCGGAAGGAGAAAAACTCCTGACAGTCAGAATCTTCCCGGTTCCTAGAGCAACAGATGATGGATGTTTCTTACTCTGATTCGTGAATCTGCACCCGGATACTCTTTCTCCTCCAGAGCTTCCCACCGTTGGTCAAACTTTGCCACCACAGGATCATCAAAGTCGACTATCTGAAATCCAGACACATTTGCGCCGCCATATTGGATTTTGGAGAGGTCGCCATCCAGAAATCCCTGGAGGAACACAAACAACGAGAATTATCAGTTATGTTGATCTCTGTTTAATTCGTTTTATAACACATGTTGTTATCTCCTTCTTGTATCAGATATCTAATTGCTCTTATGTTCCTAACAGAGCACCTTGCTCTCAATCTACAGGTTTACTAGTGGTTCTTAGGATTTCTAAACGAAGAATAGGAGTGTGGAGTAAAAGTTTTTAGCCTCACAGGCTCCAAACGAAGGTCATGAGAGATAAGAATAAGTTACACAGCTTCCTTCATGGCATGAAGGTGAGGATTGTTGTTTTAAGAAGATCCATCTGGCCAGTGAAAGATATATTAACCTACAGGCAATGGCCCTGATGAACTCAAGTTGCTTTGCTGCAATGTTCGATTGTAAGAAAGTTCTTTATGCAGGGAGTGTGTGTGAGAGATTTTTTAAGGTATAAATGTATGTACAGAAATGCCTCAGTCAGATCCCTATCTCTCCGTCTGAGACTCCTTTCCTGTGGAACCAACTACCAGTTTTAGTCCGTGAGGCAGACACCCTGTCTACTTTTAAGGCTAGGCTTAAAACTTTCCTTTTTGATAAAGCTTATAGTTAGAGTGGAAAAAATCTAAATCTAGATAAGTTATTTTTTTCTTCGAATAAGTGCATTTGTTCTTGAATTAAGAAGATAAAATAGACATTTGGCCAATGGAACAAGAAAATGTACATTTGAAACAAGAAAACACAATTGCATTGTCTTATTTCAAGTGCATCTTATCTAATTATCTTATTTTAAGAGTAAAATATATTTAAATAAAAAGTCAAATTAAGGGTAAATACACTTAATTTAGACATTTTTACTTATTTCTAGATCATCATAGAACCCCTTTTTCATCATTCTGCTTCATTCTTACTCCCACTTTGCAGAATCTATTAGTTCAATCTCTAACGTTCTGCTCTCTCTGCTTTTTCTCATAGTAGCTTCATCTGGTCTGTTCCTGTTTGGCTGTGACTCCATCCTGGAGAGAAATATCAGCTGTGCTGCTGCCATCAACACCTTTGTTTATAGATGCTGGAGATCAGCCTGTTTTTAAGTGTAGTCCTGTTTCTCTGACTTTGACTGGCTGCATGTGCGCTCTTTCATCCCCTGACATGGGAGCTGGCTCGGAGCTCAGAGTTTTTCCTCTCCACTGTCGCTACAAGCATGCTTAGTGTGAGGGATTGCTGAAGAGTCAATGAGTCGATGCAATCAACTGGTTTTCCTTAGATAGAAAACTTTGAATCAATCTAACTGGATGATCTGGTTGAATGGTCTCGGTAAAGTGCCTTGAAATTACATGTTATGTTTTGTGTTATCAGTTGATTATAGTGATATTTATAAATGATTAAATTTAATATTTCAATAGTCATTTACATATTGTTTAGATGTGCAAGATAAATATTTAATCTTTAATTAGGAGTAAGGCTGTTTAATTCGTCATGGGGTTGGTGATGCACTTCCGTCCTGGGGTGCAGAAATCATCCCCCGTAGACTAAAAGTTGTCCATGTGCAGTAGCTCCTCTTCAATGCTAAGATAGGAGCATCCTGGGGAGCAGCTCTCCTGCACCAAGAGCTGAAAGCAGCTTTATTTGCACACCACCTCCCACCACAGCCCTGACGTCCCAGTTGCTGTTATAAAGCACGGCTGATTGATAGGTTTATAGAATTATTTAGCTCCAAGGCTTGGCTAACTACATGCAGCGAGGCAAAGGCTTTATCCTGCTTTCCCTGCCTCCTTTGTCAAACGTCAGGATCTAAGTCAGCATGGATAAAGACAGATAGGACTGATTTAAAGCACTTTGCAGAACATTTTAGAATGTTTTTTTTTGTTGTTGCCATCCATGTAAATCTACTGGTGTCATACCTCAGTGTACATTTGATTAGTTTTTGGTATACATCTGTTTTGAAGTTATGGCCCCCATGGAGAAAACTCCATCATTCTTTCAAATAAAACTAACTGGTCCTGGATAAAAGAAAAAAGGCAAATGTCTGTGAAAGGAAGCTGTTTAAATAAGGACTTACTAAGTTTGCGATGATGTAGTGGTGTCCTTTCACATGCCTGCCGATAGTGATCACCTGATGGGAACAGAGAACAGGAAAAGGTTTAATTGAACTATTAATGAAAAGGTTTTATTTTGCAAACCTTCTTCATAAAATAAAAAAAAAAAGCCATTAGTTATGTCTGACTTTAAAAAAAACATAAATATATAGAGTTAACCTTGTTTGGTGATCAACATTCCCTCCCTCACAAACAAAAAATGAAACCTGTTAGCACACAAAGCAGCAAACCAACACCTATCTAAACACAGCTACCCCTATAAAGACACGGGATGTCCTAAAAACAAATAATCTGTTTTTTAGGAATATTCAGAGGACCACTAGCTGCAGATTGTTGACAACGCTGAAACCCACCTGCTCCATAATATCTTTGACTTTATCTTGTTCGCAGTCCAGGATGATGCGCCGCTCTTTTCGGATCTCCAGGTCCTAAAATACACAGAAATGTGTGTATTCAGAAAAGCTTCATAGTACTTCAATAAGCTTCATATCTGCTGTCTTTTTATTTGAAATGAAAACATGATATTTATCAGTAACATTCCCTTTAGTCCCTCAGAGACATTAGTCAGTGACTGTAGGTGGAAATCTCCCACAGACGAGTTCACTAAAAGCTTCAGCTTCTAGGACAACAGTGGAGTTGGATGTAGTAGCATTCAGAGGGTTGTCGGTTTGAGCCCCGGCTCTGGCTTTCAGTGTCGTTGTATCATTGGGCAAAACACTTCCCTACTGATGGTGGTCAGAGGGCCCGGTGGAGCCAGCAGCCTTGCTTCTGTCAGTGAGCCACCAGGGCAGATGTGGCTACTATGTAGCTCCCCACCATCAGTGAGTGAATGGGTAAATGTAGTGTAAATCACTTTGGTCAAGTCTTCTGACTAAAAAAATGGGCTGTATAAGAACAGACTATTTACCATCTAGTCTCTGTGGGCTTTGCTCCGTCTGTGTCGCTTCATCACAGTGCTGTCGATAGTCATTCTCAGAGCAAACCAGCCCCTCGTCCCCATTTCTGGCTGTAAATATGTCAGCCTCTCTTTCAGAGCATCTTCAGAGCTTCCCTCCTCCTCCACGTCTCCTTCTCCTCATGCCTCTCAGTGGGTCAGCTATCTCCTAACTATGTCACTAGCTGGGCTCTAAACACAGGGCTCGTTATATCCTGTTAGCTGGCAGTGCTTCATTAGAGGAGTCACAATGGTACAGCTCAAAGTTTACCCAGATGTGAATGAATAAATAAGACCTCTCCTGTGTGGTGTTCCCCTTAGTGACTCTGCTGTTGAGGGAAAATGAATAAACGATCAAGTTAAAACCAACCAGGTTGATTTCAGCAGGATAACCTGAGCTGAGCACAAGATGTTCTACTCAGAAGTAAACAGCTGCCATAAAGTATGAAGTATGAAACTGTTTTTTCAATACAAATGTCGTCCAGATAGTTTCGGTAAATTTTGTTTCAAGACCAAATGTCAACGTTTCTCTTAAACCAGCGGTTTTCCAGGCAGGGGTCAGGAGACAGCAAGTGGGAGGTCGGTGACCCCTGAGGGCCAGAATATATCAGGTAAAACATTAATATTATTAAGATCTGTCATTCTGGGATTTTTGGTTCTGTTTAGTTTTTGATTTTAAGACTTATATCATGTTTTGAATCACTACTTAGTTTTACTTTTACTGTTTGGTGTTTTTTCAGTTATGTCCATTCTCATATCCTCTAGATTGCCCCTTGGTCATTATTTACTTTCTAGTAATTTTTTATGTATTTACCTTTTGCTTCATTTAAGTTCTTTTGTAGTTTTATTTAAGCCCTGTTTACTAATTGTTGCCCCTCTCCTACCTCCTTATAGCTGCTTCTGTCCACACCTGCTCCCAATTAGCTGATCACTCCATTCATTGTTCTATCTCCCATATAAACGCTGCAAAACATTGAAATCTAAATAAGTCATTTTTTCCAGCATTTTTTCTGCAATTGAGGAGGTAGGTGAGACACTTTGCCAATTGAAAAAGACAATTTACATTTAAAATAAGAAAAAAACTATTGCATTGTTTTATTTCAGGTGTATTGGCATATTTTACATTTATTTTAGCGGCCAGCAGAAGTCTGTTGGATTGTTAATATTGGTCCACAGCCTGACATGTTTATCTACTTTAGAAAATAACCATGTTGTTTGGTAAGAAAAAAGCTGGTGATGAATTTTGACTTTATTCAACTGTTTTCTGATCTGTTGCAGGTGTCAGAGTCACACTTTTGGGTTTTGACAGCAAAAACATGTTTTTATTTATTATTTTTAGCTAGCTTTAAAACAGACACGTTGCAACTAGTTTTAGCAAAAAAATCTGTGTGATATAAATATAAAATTTAAAAAGTTGGAATATTTTAATAACAGAGGAAATCTGCATGCAGCCATTTTCATTCTGACTTGAATCTAATGTGATTCACATCATGTTAGTTGATTGGTAGATTACTAAATTATTGAAAAATGTCAAAATTTCTGCTAGAACATCACACTAAAGTTGGTGTTTGACTACAGAAATCCACCTTAGTTCATAGTTAATCCCCACACATCATGATACAGTAAATAAAGGTCCAGAAAATACGAGATCAGCAAAATTATACATTCCTCACCTTAAAATAAAGGGAATAAACGTTATATATTTTTCTCAGGATGTAAAAGTTGGTTTAAATCTGTATGAACGGGAATTAAAAGCTGCTGTGGTAAATGATTCAACTCCGGACAGCAAATCAGAATAATCTGATGCACCAAAGCATTAAACCCTAACAATACACATTCAAAACATCCTTGGACAAGAGCTTGGCTAAACATCGAACCGTTAAACAGAGTCCTGGATGAATGTAAAGATTAAAATCTGGATGTAAGCTGCAGCTGGTTTAAATTAGATTCAAAGGGCCGGATTTATCAAGATCCAATTTTGCGTGCAGTAATTTGCGCTCGCAAACTGGAATTTTGCGCGAGGGGCTGAACCATGGTTTGCGGGAGATTTAACAAGAGTGATTGCGTAACTGGTGGAAGGTGCAAAACTGTTGGAGACGCCCTATTTAAATGATGGTTTTGCGCGTTTTGTGGTTTGCGGCAAAGTAGTTTGTAGTCTGTACAAACTAGTGCATTAAGACATTTAAATCTTACAGTGACCCCCAACAAAAAAAATAAATAAATAAATAAATAAATAAAATAAAATAAATATATATATATATATATATATATATATAAATTGGCAACCTTTATTCCCTAAGGTGGTACGTGCTGCAGTAAAAACAAAAACAAAAAAACAAACAAAAAACAGCTGTTTTGTATTGGCCTGTGACTGTGGATGAGATCCCCGCAGCATTTGGCACGTTGCTCCACAGGCGCAGGGGGAGAACCCCGACCCCGTCGGACAGCACTTCTGAAAAAACGAGATTGGGAGATCCCAGCTCTCGCTGCAACCGTACGCTGGAATGACCCAAATGCAAAAAAGTGCAATGTTGCAAGGTGTTCTGTGATATCTGGTATTGCGTGGGTCCTCCTTGTGGCTGGCTCCAAATCCATTCGGAGTTCCCCCAACAGCTCCAAAATGGCAATGCTGGATAAACGGTATGTTTTGATGATCGTTTCCTCGTTCATTGCTTCATTTCGATGTCTCCTTCTTGCGACAATAACCGCTACCATGTGTGCGCAATTACGCATACAGACCATTTGCACCTTCTTTTGAAACGTGTTAAATATAGAGTCAGATACCGTTAGCAAAATTGCTTTCAGGTTTGATAAATCACTTTGCGAGTGCTAAATTAATATATTTACATGTTCTCCTCCCACAAGACGCACTTTTGCGTGTAAACGCCCCATATTGCATATTCATTGCAGAAAAAGTACTAAATGGATAAGAGGCGCTATTTAGCACGTTTTAAAGATCAAATCCTTTTAGCACGCTGTTGATAGATCAGTTTGTACATTTTTTAGCGTGCGCAGTGAAATAGCTCACGTTTTTATACACGCAAACCTTTGATAGATCCGGCCCAAACAGTTCTGCAAATGCACAGCTAACAAAGCAGCTAATATCCACCTTAATTTACACCAAATATGATTTTTTTTTATCAATTTACAAAAAGTACATAGTGTCAGACCTTAGTTTTGTGCTAGTATCCGATTACTGCATTTAACCTTTGCATTGAAGGACATTTTCATGCCTTTGTCCAGGGATTGGACAACAGAAGAGGAGCAAGTTCTGCCTCCATAGCTCCGCAGTTCATCACCGAGATAATCCCAGTTTATTAGAGAGAAAATCCCAGTTTATTTTAGAGATAATCATTATCACAGAGAAAATCCCAGTTTATCACAGAAATAATCCCAATTTATCACAGAAATAATCCCAATTTATCACAGAGAAAATCCCAGTTTTTCACAGAGAAAATCCCAGTTTATCTTAGAGATAATATCAGTTTATCACAGAGATAATCCCAGTTCATCACAGAGATAATCCCAGTTTATTTTAGTGATAATCCCAGATTATCACAGAGAAAATCCTAGTTTATCACAGAAATAATCCCAGTTTATTTTAGTGATAATCCCAGATTATCACAGAGAAAATCCTAGTTTATCACAGAAATAATCCCAGATTATCACAGAAATAATCACAGTTTATCACAGATAAAATACCAGTTAATCTTAGAGATAATCTCAGTTTATGACAGAGTAAATCCAGTTTATCACAGAGAAAATCCCAGTTTATCACAGAAGAAATCCCAGTTCATCAGCTAGTTTCCTAAATTGATGGACGTCTAAGAATCACTGAAGTCAAACAAATGAAGGTTTGCATCCTGCAGTTAGAACACAGCACCAGTGAAGACAGAATACCTGAAAGAGGGAGCGGTAGGCTTCGTCTTTCCTCTCATCTTTCAGGTCTCCCACATTTATTGCCGTTACCACCCACTTTTTCTCTGCTGCAGTGTCCAGTATCACCTGAAGAGTAGAGAGACCTGCAAACACAGAGACACAGAGCAGAGGATCAGTGAGCAGCAGCCCTGTTTTTATTAATCAGCATTTTAGTTCTGGAACCTCCTGGTGGGGCCACATACCGCGCCCCAAGTTCCAACCAATCAGAGTAGGCCCCAGTGAAACAAGGAGAGTTTAATTTTCTGATCTCTTAGAGTTCTCCATGTTCTGTCTGAAGGTGAAAGCAGTGAATCATCTTGAACAGAAAGTCCTATGAAGATTTTTCTTTGATCACAGACCCATACATTCTCTACAGGTGTCAGGTCAGGCTGATCAACCACAGCACCACCATAGTCAGTCAGCTTTTGGTCCTTTTAGCCGTTTGCTACCAATTCCTGCTGGGAAATTCAATAAATATGTAGTTTTCTTTAAACTACAGAGAATAACAGCTGAGTTCTGGTAATCCTAAGGTAAGAAGCTTTTCACAGAGAAGCGTAGGACCGGTCTGAGCATGGGGCCTCCAGCTGAGCTCACTCAGGCACCTTTTTAGGAGGTTACCTCAAATACCTCAATAGATTTTACCTTAAAATCCTCTCAAAGCTGTGGTTCTCTCTGTGACATTCAAAAATATCAGGAAATGGAAGATTCAAATATTTAAATTTATGTGTGCTGAATCTGTAGATTGTATGAAATAAGTAGCTACAAAAAAAATACAAAACTTTTTGCTGATATTGAAGCTGTTTTTCTACTGATATGTCTGTGTTTAACCAGCAGAACCTCACTGTATCTAATAAATGTGACGCCGCCTGTTAATCAACCCTGGAGACTCATCAACAACCGATCAATCAGCAATCTCTATTGAAGCTGCTCACTCAGACAACACTACCAGGGTTTTGTATGAAGACATGTCAGACATGGGAATTTTGTAGAGCTGCAAATAGCGATTATTTTCCCAACCGACTGATCTGTTGATTATTATTTCCAATCGATCAATAATCAAACAGCCAAAGGTTCCTTAAAGAAAGCTTTTTATGAAATTAAAACAGGTGAAACAAAACTTTTCCACTTGAGGATTTTTAGATAGAGAAGAATGACAGGAGAAAGTGTTTTTATCTTAAATGCAAAATGTTTACATATTTTTAACAATCTTGGTATAATTCCTGCTCTAAGTCTGTCTCTGCCAGCTAAAGGCATGTTTTATAGTCTCTATTCTCCAGTTAAGAATGAATCCATTACTGAATTAGTTGACGATTATTTCAATAATCAATTAATCGGATTGTTTCAGATGTAGAATTCTGTTTTAAAAGCCTGTAATAACAGGCTAAGTCTTGTCAATAGAAAACAAGCAATTTCCAACACATTAGTTTAAGTTTTTAGAAGATGGAACACAGTTAGACCTGTTTCTCAAAACCAAATAGTCTAGTTTAGGAAAATTAAAGTTTTAATAAAACTTGCAAACTGCTGAGGATCAGTGACTCTTCATTTGATTTTAAAAACCATAAATCTTAAAGCCATAACTATGGAATCCCATTTCAGTGACTTTAAAGTTAAAAAAAGGCTAATTGTGCATCATAATTGAGAGATTTAAAGTCATTATTTCACTTTTCAAAGTCAGAATAATTAGATATAAAGTCATTATTAAGATACCAAATTTTTTATAAATGACTCTGAAAGCAGAAATACGATGTAGTATTAAAGTGGTGAAAAATGGCTTCCATAGATGATCTGAGTCGGATCTAAGGTCAGATCCACTCTGAGGCTTTCATCTTATGGATAAACATATTTTCCAGACTGAGATCTTTGGTTTTTAACTAAGACTATCAAGGCAGACAGAAGGCTTCAATTAGAGACATTTAGGAAGCCGACAGCAGCAGTTATCCAGCAGAGGAGGAAGACTAAGGAAGGCTCTCTGTAGCTGTGTGTGGCGCTGCGACACACACACAGTAATCTAACTCCACGCAGTCATCGCTTCCCCAGCCAACACTTAAACTGAAGACCTCTGTGCTGCAAGAGGACAGGGCTAACCGCAAGACCGCTGACATCCCTGAAGGGAAATAAATCATTTATCCCAGTAAATAATTAATGTCTTGTTGGTGGGTTTGTGTTGCGATGGATCTGTACAGGCTGACAGATGGTAGGAGAGTGAAATCAGAGAGGATCTACTCTTTCTTCCCAGGAGTAAAAGCGTTTATCTGCCACTTCCATTCACCTCCTGTTAAACCGTCTGAGGCCAGGAGGGGACAGCTGATTATCTGAAGGTTGGATGTTATGGGAAAAGAACTGTTTCTATACACTACTGCAGAGAGTGCAGAGCTTTGATAGGCTAAAGGTGCTTGGAGTGGAAAACGGCTCTGAGCGTTCAGAAAGCAGAGCGGCTTCAGGTCTGGAATCTCCTGAGCTTTTCTCTTCCTCCTGCTGCCAGTTTTAATGTTCGGAACATTTCCTCTGAAAACACTGGTGAAAAAACTGATCTCAGTGGTGAAGAGTTGATGAGTCATTAGAAGATGCCTTAGCTCAAGGATTTCAAAGCAGCACCACTGGGGCTTTTCATCCCTTTGTAGCTCAGGAACTAATCACATGTTGTGGAATAGAAGAATAGCTGCCATCATGCAATCAGAGGCGTAGCTGGAAAATGTTTATAAGGGTGAATGGGGACCAGAACCTCAGGGTCAATATACACTATTGCAACAGGAAAATTAATGAGCACAACATCAATAATTTCTAAATAAAGACAAACTATATTTTTCTACAGCCCTTGGTAAAAAGCATGTATTTAAACATCCATGCTTTCTAGATAAAAGTTATAACAAATAAAATTCTTTCAGGTTTGAGTTCTGGTGCAAACATCTTTTCCATTGTCATTACTTACCTACTTGTATCAATTATTCTGCATGAAAATTATATTATAAGTAATGATATCGACATAAACTGAGTATTTAACACATTGTGATTACAAAAAGTTATTTATTTATGATATCACAGAAGATTCCTAGTTGACTTTCAGAGACGGATCATTTTCTATTTACCCCAAAAAACATGAAATATAGTTCTGAAAAGATCATAAATTCTGAATTAATCATCTTTAATATTAGTACATTGATGTGCATAATTAACCACAGTGTTTTTTCTTGTCAAGTAATTATTATTATCTATGAAAAACAGAGTATTACTGCTACCAGCATCTGTATTACAGGATAATAATGGTATGGGTGGCCACAAGGCTGAGCAATGATTGGCTAAGGCCTGGCCCCCCATCTAACTCCGCCGCTGTATTCATTTCAGTTCAGTTTATTTCAGTTTAATTCATTAACTCATCTCAGGTCACTTTACAGAGATAAATCAACCAGATCATCCAGTCAGATTGATTTAAAGTTTTCTATCTAAGGAAAACCAGCTGATTGCAACGACTCATTGACTCTTCAGCAATCCCTCACACTAAGCATGCTTGTAGTGACATAAGTTTTTATAATTATTATTTATTTGACAGGGACAGTGTACATTAAAAGCATTCCTGCAAATGCACCAGAATTAGCCAAAAGGCTATTTTTCATCTGTTGTCCCTGGACAGATCTTAAAATTGTCTTCCTAAAAAAACACAACAAGTTATGGGTTGTAAAGATGGGACTGGAGATGCTGCTTAAAGATCAGTGAGCAATCAGACAGTTTGTTTTTTTCAATTTAAACCAAAAAAAAAAAAAAAAAAAAACAACACACAGCATTATTTTTTAAACCCAAAAGATATGGAATAATAGTTCTTTCTATCCGATTTCTCCTTTTTTGCACTAAACTATAATTGTAAAAAAACAGACCAAAATTAGCTTTTGCTTTACAGTAGCAGCCGTTCAAAATGTCCCCACTTTCCTTGATGGGCCCTTGGCTGGTCCCCTATATTTCCTTTTTATTAAACATCAACTTTTGTATGAAAATATTCTCTCTGTCATGACTTGTGGACTTTACTGTAAGATCTATAGAGAAGCGCCTTCTCCTGGTCAGACCCTGTAATACAGTGAGAGGGCGGAGTGAAAGTAAAAAAATATGCACGCCCAGGAGAAAGAGGAAGTCACTCTAGTGGTTGGAAGTTGTAGGGGATTTCGCTGGGAGCTGCAGGAAGGTGCTGCTAATCAGCAGGCTTTTGACTGGGAAGGGCCATTTTAAATGGCTGCTACTGTATTTAGATAGATTCTATATTCCTCCTGTATTTCTGCTTCTACGTAATTGGCCCCCAAGGTGTGGCCCTAGAAGCCCGATCAAATCGAGCCTGCTTCTGCTGGAAGCAGAAAGGGAGTTTTTCCTCCCAACTGTCACTGCATGCATGCTTGGTGTGAGGGATTGCTGAAGAGTCAACGACAAAACGCAGGCAGATACCTGATTTCATCCCCTGCTGATACAGCAGTAGTCTCTCCTTCAAGTCAATGAGTGGATGCAATCAGAATGTTTCACCAATGTGACTAAATGATCTAAAAAAAACCTTGAGTTAACATTTTTTTTTATGAATCGTTGCCGTAGAAACAAACTAAACTGAATTCAATTATATGTGCAAACAGTTGGTAGGTCTTTACATGTTGAGCTGTAAGTTTGTATTTTCAGAAGGTTTAGATTTCCTCTAAATGTTTACATGGATGAAAATATGTATACATTTAACAGTTGGTGCAAAGCAGACTTTATTCCTGCTGCAGTGAGATTTAAATGTGTAAAATAAGTAGAATAACAGTAGCAGTCCCTTCAGTGCATTTGCCCTCATTATTAAAATCATATGATGATCAGCAGAAGGTGCAGGAAGAGGACATGCAAAAGTATTTTCTCACCCTGATTTGCTTAAATAAATCTGAAACAGATCAGTAAGACAGGGCCTGCATTTCTATTAATGCTTAAAAGGCATAAGGTGCAGATTGGTGAGTAGGAGGCGTTGGTGCAAAGACAGACCAGAGAGGGAATGTTTCTTTACACGGGAACCATTTTGGTCAGTCAGAAATAACAACAACCCAGACATATCATCTGTGCAAGAATGCCACTTTGGAGACTCAGGACTATAATTTCAGCACACCCTCCTTTTATGGCACCGCACCATTATGTGGAGATCACACTGGAGGAGCAATACAATGCATCAAAAGAGAAGGTGCTGCAGATTCTAGTTGTCTACTGCAATGTTCTACAACATGCAGGGGGAAAGCAGTTAGACCAGAACAAAAGCAGAACGTTGCTGAATACCGCGGCATGCTTTTAAACAAATCAAAATGATAATTAAGGCTGCATGCAGCCTGCAGTGAGAGGCAAAGGTAAACATGCTTCCTGATCATTTGAGTGCCTCAGACTGTAGGGCCTCTTAAAACAGCTTGGAATATATTTACTGTTGTTTTGCAGCAGTTTGATAAACTTAGAAGGAAAGTGGATTACAATAAAAACATTTTACAATAATCTTTATTGACTCCAACTGTATGCGTTAAACGTAATCTTTCTTTGACGTCGTGTCTGCTCTCCTTTAGAATACACACACTCCCTATTTAAAGAGGATGGTCTGCACAACTTTTGTACTGTCTATTGAGTCATCCATGGGAAATATTTAGTCTCATCAAGCATTTTAATGGCCTTTATTTAGGATCTAAGGACCTGTTCAATATTTGGTTAAAGGAAAAGTCCGCTCATATTCAGAATTCAAACTTCTGAAAGTACTTTAAATATGAAATTATTACATACTTTTCAATAAATGATCAGTGTTTTAAATTAAGAGTAATTTTCATGTGAATGTGCTTTACTGGAAGCATCCATGTTTGTCAAAGAACACTACTGCCACCTACTGGTTTTTGACGTCACGGTGCGGTATCGGCTGTTGATCAAGTCCCAGTGCTGTATCTGGTGTTTGTCACAACGCGCTATTATCCAAGTCATCTTGAAAACATTCTTCTTCCAAATGTTGGCTACATATTACGGGTTTTTTCTCTGGCCAGAAGTTCGATGGCAAATCCTCCCTCTTCAAGTTGGCGATCCAACGACCAACCCGTCCGTGGAGGATCAGGAATCAGAAAGGTGGAATAACTCTTTTTTTTCACTTTTCCCCGATGTATTCCAGCATCCAGCTGCCATGCACGTGGGCATTGTCAGTTTCACTATAGCTCTGGTGAATTTCAATGGTGAAGTCCTCTGGAAATCTTCAATAATTGTTGTTGATTGCAGATGTGTCTAGTAGTTCCCATTGATTTTGCTTGTAAAGCGGGGAGAATGGCGCTAGGCTTACCGCACCGTGACGTCACTGCTGGAAGATGGCAGGAGGGAGGGGGTACTATATTTGGGCAAAAATGGCCGCTCCCAGACTCAGTGATCATGATGAAAATTAATATGTTTATTTTTTACTCATTAACTCTAAATTCTTTAAATCAGCGCAAACGTATTAGTTTTAGGTCTAACTAATGATCCATTGATCATTCCTTGCTGACTGGACTTCTCCTTTAAGATGCTCACCACCTCAGCCAATCAAATAGCAATCACAGTGCAATTTGTCATTTGAAATGGTGAAGAAGATTGGATGATGTCCAAACTGAGCATCAGGATGAGGAAGTTAATGGATTTAAATCACTGTGAGTTTGGTCTGAGAATTTCAGAATCTGTGCTATATTTATTTCTCAGGTCTTGCTCAGGTTTACAGAAAATGAGCAGGAAGAGAGCGAGCACATCTGCTTCCAAGAAAAATAGCTGATTAATCTGAGAACAGAGGAGCAGCTGATGGATCTACAGCCTCTGTGTGAGGCTATCACATCATTGTCTCAATAGTCTTAGAGTGTTTGTAACCTATGCCACTAAACCATCACTGAACCATTATCAGTGTAGAACTGGTCATGGACTGGTGAGACAGCTATAGTTTATAGGCTGTGCTGTATTTATTCTGCTCTATTCTGACTAAAGTAGCAATGAATGAAACATAGATCCAGTGGTGAAGATTGTCACTCATCCAGGTCATAGTCATTCCAAAAAAAAGAATTAAAAACAGGGGGGGGGGGGGGGGGGACTCAGGCTTCAGCTTTAAAAAACCTACAATGCAGCAGCTGAGTTGATCCCTACCCGCTAAAATCTCAACCCCAACCCCTGTACAGTAGAGCCGAGGGCCTCACCTATTCAGCCAGGCCAACAATTCCCTTTAACCACTGACCTTCAGACAATTAGACAGGTATGGGGGATTGTAGACGAACAAAAGAAGCCAAATGTCCCCCATTCCAAAGGGGTGGACCTGTTCATTCGGTTCAATTTGCATGTTTTCAAAACAAAAACAAGGCTTTGTTGGGCTACTGTATAAAACCTGGAACTCCAAGCTATTCCTGACATTTTGATTTGCATTTTGACTGGATGGAAAGCTAAATGTTTTCAAACCTGGCAACCGAGAAGCTTAACTCCTTAGAAACTTCTGAACATATAATTTTAAACTCAGATCTTAAGTCACACGTTCCACCCTGCTGGCTTTCTGTTCTCCGCATTTTTAGATTGTTTTCTGTTCCTGTATTTATTTATTTTTTTGTCTGCCAGAGCTTGATCTCACAGTCCCAACAGCTTCAGATGTCTTTTGTTATTATTAAAATCTATTTAGGTTTTGATTTCTTATGAATCCACATTGATGAGAATGTTTTTGACCTAAACCATCAAGCACATACTGTATATGGGGCAACATGAAGCAGCAACACCAACATACAAAGACCAGCCTTACCTCTGTCACTGTCGTACAGATACGCAAACTTTTCCCACTTGTAGTACTCCACTAATGAAACCAGGGGCCCCTTGATGTCTGGCCTCATTTGGAGAACAAACTGATTCATTCCTTCTGCAGGGAAAGACGGCGTGATGAAGGAGACATGCAGCGTCTCGCAGAAGGATGTGATGGTGTTGACCGACTTCTTGTCGTAAAAGCCAAAAATGGCATAGACGCCCCGGGAGAACTGGGAACAAACTGGGAAAAAAGAGGGAAAGAAAGAATGAATGAAACACTTTGAACAATTTAACACAGAGCGGAGAAATAAATCACCACAGGAAGTTTAAAGATTTAACATGTTTATGATAAATATACAAAGAAAATAATATTCCCTGGTAAATACATTTCCAAAATCAGGTACCAGCCTCTCATTGGGTCATAACTGCACAGATGATCATCTAAGGTTGTGATTGGCTCATTGTTACCTTGACAACCATCTTGGCAGACACATCTAGCGTGCTAGAAAAGATGTTAACCTGCTATAGAAAGGTCAGATCATCGAGCAAAAAAAACAACAACACCCCCCCCCCCAAAAAAAACAAAAAAAAAACAGCTAAGAATATTTTTCTGATAAATACTAAAACTGGGTAAGAAGTAGGGGTTTAAATCACACCCATTGTGGCGATTCGATTCAGTATCAATTTCCTGACCCAACGATTCGATTATTTTCGATACTCAAGACTACACCAGGATATGATACGATTCGATTAATTGGTTAATTTTTAATTTTTTTTTACCTTACAAGTTAGACAATTTGAAATAAATCAATGAAAGCTGTAATATCGTTATACATTTTAAGCAAAGCTGTACTCCACCCAGGACTATGAAAACCCCATTCACTGAACAATAATCATGCCTCTGTGTTATAGATTCTGAAAGGTCTTACATCCAAAAATACTGCAAGTGGAAGGAGGGTAAGTGGCTAAAGGAAGTGAGGTAAATAGGTTTAGCGCCACCGCAGTGTGGGAGTCAGAATTACATCCAGGAGCAAATGGATAAAAAAACCAGAGGGGGGAAAAAATGAATCAATGCTCTTGCGGATGTTTCAATGCATCGGATTGTCGGCTGTTGGATCGATGCATAGATACAAAATGATTATCATTTACACTTTGCTTACTCTATGCTTCTTTTTCTATGTCTGCTTCTGTCTCCTTGAACCCCAGTCGGCATCAGCAGATGGCCGCTCACACTGAGCCTGGTTCTGCTGGAGGTTTCTTCCTGTTAAAAGGGAGTTTTTCCTCTCCACTGTCGCTACAAGCATGCTTAGTGTGAGGGATTGCTGGAGAGTCAATGAGTCGATGCAATCAACTGGTTTTCCTTAGATAGAAAACTTTGAATCAATCTGACTGGATGATCTGGTGAACTGTACAGTCCTTGAGATGACATGTGTTGTGAATTGGCGCTATAGAAATAAACTGAATTGAATTGAATTGCTCCTCCTTCAGAACCTTTGGAATGAGCGTAGGAAGAACCAGTGCTGTGTTTTGATTCTACCATCAGATCTCAGATCTCAGTGGAAAACGCAACTCAGGATGGAAAAACCTGCTGCTACAGAATTAGACAGCGAACCTGAGCCTTAATAAAAAATACTAAAAATGGGCCTTAATAAAAGCTTAATGCTCTCCAGCAAACCATTAGAGGGACTTTTGGTCTGACAGGATGGGGTTGTGCTGTTCTTCAGTCACATTTCTACAATTTAATGACAAAAAAAGCAAGCTGGATCTGTGAAAAAATGTCATAATAAAATACTATTTAATTTTCCTTTTAACAGACTGATGTGAGCTACTGTTATATAGCAGGTGCACCAGGTGCAGGCTTGATTTAGTAAATTCAGTCCCAGTTTGTAAAAAGCAGATGTGTGAAGTGAGAACAACCCCGGACATTCATCACTCCGGTTCCTGTATGCATAGAGTGTGGAACAGGTGTGTTCTTTGGGGTTTTCCACTAATGTTCGCGGCTGGAAGGCGTTTTTCATGTAATCCATATTTTGCTGGCAGGTTTTGACATCTTAAGTTAATAAACTGTTTCAGGGGAGTGATCATAGCGCTCTGCATCAGCCGTGCTGTTTCTGTCATCTGCCAGCTCCCAGATCAGCTTCTCTGATTGGTTGATGTGGTGCATCCAGCAGCTAAAGTTTCATTTTTTTAAACTCCAGCAGCTGCTGCTTGTGCAACACATCACGTGCGTCAAATGCACAGAATCTCATAAGGCGCTGCTTCACCTGCTTCGATGCGCCAAGAAGCGCTACTCCTGCTGCTATGCAGGACCTTTTGATGACCCTTGATGCGCGTCAACCATTGGCCTTGCATGTAAACTAGCTGCTTCTGCAGCATTAGATCTGAACGTAGCATTAATTAAACTATAAAAGGTAAAGCTCCTACTTTTGTTATTAGTGACCCACCATCATTAAAAGCTTAAAGTTGTGCAGTATTTTTTAGAAATTTTGCAAAAATTGTTAGTAAATAAAGTCCTTTGTTTATATCTCCAAAAACAACAGATTGCACAATTTTGTTTTTTGTTGTTGTTCTGCCAGGCCAACAACTTTATATTGGTTTTTAATACTCAATTAATGTTTAATTAATATTGGGGTTTTTTTTTGGACACAGCAAACTATAGCTTTACCACCAGGCATTGCAGGACAGCTAAGCTCTATTTAGGCTACATTCATTCTGCAGGCCTTAATGCTCAAGTCAGATTTTTTTGTGAAATCCCATTTTTTGGCGTTACTGTTCACATTTTCCAAATATATTGGAATTGTATGTGATCTCCTGTGTAAATTGCATTCATACAACTCAAGTCTCCCCCATGCGTAGTAGAGTACGTAATGACATCACAGGCCAGGATGCTCTGTGTTTATGGAAGTAAACATGGATGGTAGTGCTGGAGAACATCTAGTGATCTTTCCCAACCTTAAAAACACAATATTTTCAAGATGATAAACATAAAATACTGCTCTTCGCATCATCGTCCGCCATGGTTGTTGTTTTTCTTGCCGCTTCTGTGTAGCAAGACCCAGAATAGTGACATTTGTCGAGTATTAATGGGGTCCAGGTCAGATAAATGCGACCTGGCTGTTCAGACAGAGGTCTCATTTGAAAAGATCAGATTCGTATCGGATTCAGGACCACAGAGCCAAGTGGCCTGGGTCACATTGGAAAGAATCAGATCTGTGTTGTTCAGACTTTTATGAAAAGTTCAGATCCAGGTTGCAAATGGGCAAAAAAAATCAGATTTGGGTCACTTCAGGCTGCGGTGTGAACGTAGCCTTAGTAATCGACTTCTGGCTTTCTGATAGTTATTCTGTTCTGCCAACAGATGGCGCCACATTGACTCAGGTCAGCTCATCATGCTGAAATTGTGTTTAGGCTCAAAAAGGGCTTTCTAAATGCTACCAGGATGGACACCTAGTATGTAAAGTAACATTTGAACGATCATGTGATTATGCAGCTTTAAGAACTGTGTCTATAATTATAACTACAGTTGGCTTTTTCTACAGTTAATTTGAACTCCCTCCCTACCTATTTGCTAAAGATGACATTTTTCAAATAAAAACAACATTTTAAAATAAAAATTAACATGTCTCTGTGTAGCTGAAGAATCATTTATAAAAAATAAATCACAGCTGGTGAGATATTTTTTAGACTCTGGTTAAATGAAGGGCAAAACCCCCCCAAAAAACAGTCAGTTTAAATTTAAATTATCATTAATGCCTGACATTAAGATCTGACTCCTTCTGTCTAACTACAGTCATCAGGAAGGACGTGGGATACTGACAGTCCATCGTACAGCCAACACAGGTTGGAGCAAAGCTAATAAACCAATCTGCGTGTTTGTGTGGTTAAAGGCTCCTCTAGGAGCGAGGAAGGAAGCTCTGACACCAAACCTGCTGCTTTAATATCTGTTTATTGGTAACCCGCCTTTTATTGATCACAGCTGATGACTGCAGAGACATGTAGCTTGTTTTCAGTCCAAAGGAAAGGAGGAAAGGAGCCACCCAGCACTCCTCCACTCAGCAGAGGCTCAGCGCGCTCACCGCCATCACATAAAAACCCTTTTAGCCACAGGCCATCATTACATCATGCTCTGATAAGAGCACATCGTACTCCACGCATCAGCCTTTGTTCTCCCGCTTCTTCTCTTTCCACAACAGTTACTGAATTAATGTGGAAGCCTAGAATTGGTCAATTCATTTTCAGGACTGTTAGGAGGATCACAGATAAAACACAAGTAAATGTGGATACAAGGAAGTTATTTAGATAGAGGGGTATTGCTTTAGCTGTATATTGCCTTTCCTGTCATCGTTTCCAAACATTGCCTGTGGAGTATTGAAATTATTTTATATGCATTACTGACATTGCCTACTGGTAAGGTTTAGGGACATCATCCGCATACAGTAGTAGCCATTCAAAATTTCCCCACTTTCCTTGTTGGGTCCTTGGCTGGCCCTTGGTTGGTGGTTGTGCTGGTTTGTTGCTTCCTCGTCTCTGGTTCCCCATGTGAGTTATCCCTGACGTAATTTATTTTTGGTTTTCAGTAGTTTGTGTTTTGGATTTTTGCCTCAGTTTTCTGATTAAATCTGCAAGACTCACTTCTGCATCCTGATCTCTGCATTTGGGTCCGCAAAAAACCTCCACTAAACCGTTACAATCAAATTTGGAGTTTCTATATGATAACAAGTTGTCTTGCTGAAGACATATTGAATTTATTTACACTGAAAAAATATCTTTAACTACAGTAAGAACATATCAATAGTACCTCCCAGCTAATTTGGTAGAAATTGTTGACAGAGTTCTAATCATTTATCCAATATATTAAAGTCAGTTCACCTGTGCTAAGGCTATATAAGGAGCAAGTGATGCAAAATAAGGCTGCATGTTGGGCCCTTGGCTGCTCTGGTAGAACCAGCATAAATTCTTCACTAGGAGGTGCCATCTTGAACTTCCAATGAGCAGACAGCATGGAAGTAATGGCACCAGAGTGAACACACCTGCTCCACATTCACACCTGAGACCTGGTAACACTAGAAAGTCAAACACACTGGAAGGAAAACAATAAAACTCACTTTTACTGCCAGCATTTCTAACATTATTGGCTTTGTGTAGAATTATCTTTTTTATTTTCTGTTAATGAAACAGTGATCAGAGTATGAGCAGCTGTTTAAAAATCCAGCTGTGACCAAATATATTTTAAAGAGAATGAGAATAAAACTGACTCCAGGTAATTATAATTATGGTCATCTTGACCTTCATATTTTCTATTTACCGTATTTTAGTCAAACTATGATGAAATAATAATTCTAGCTGGAAAAATGAGCGAGCTACTAAACATGGAGCTGGTTTAATGATCTTTAGGACTCTAATTCTGGTTTACTTTGATGTTCCTCTTTTACAGTGTTTTACTATTTAAATTCTTGCAGTTTTCTGGTTTTTCTAATGTTTTCTATATCAATCCATTTCTCTGTTATTGTTAGATTGTTTTTAGCTTTGTTATTAGAAGTATGATCATCTTTGATTTTCTTCTCCTGTTGTAATCTTTATTTATTTATTTAGGATCTAGTTATGTATTTATCTGTACTTTGCACGAGGATTCTTCTTTGTTTAAATTGTAGCTCAGTATTTTTCTTGAGAATAAACTGATGCAAATGTGCATGGTTTATTTATTTAATTTGCTCTATTGTATTTACTTGCATTTCTGCTTTAGATTTTTACCAGATAAAGGTTACAAACAGTACTTACAGCAGTTGGTAACAGCGAAACTGTTGGCCACCTCCAGGTTATCTATATGCGGAGTCAGTCTGAAATCAGCCATTCCAAACTGAACCATCCCGACTCTGAATGCACTGTACTCCTGATCTGCACCTCTGGGAAATAAACCCCCTAAAAGAAACAAAGAAAGAGAAGAAAGATTACCACAGCTGCTAGGAGTGGAACCAATAATATTTAAGCGAAATAAAAACATGTAAAGCAAGGCAAGTTAACTTATATAGTACAGATTAGTGGGAGGATTGTTCAAAGTGCTTTACACAACAGGAAAAGATGGAGGGAAGAGCTCTTCACAAGATAGGCATGAGCTCTATCAGGTGTACCGTATGTCAGCTACAGCTTGATGGGAAGAAATGATAGGCGGAGGTATTAGGGAGAAAGTTCAAGAAAAAGATCAAATACAGTAGCAGCCATTCAAAATAGCCCTTCCCAGTCAAATGCCAGCCGAATGGCAGCCCACTTCCCTGCAACTCCCAGCAAAACCCCCTCCAACTTCCAGCCTTTCACTGAATAACAGGGTCTGACCAGGAGATGACGCTTCTCTTTAGATCGTTTTGTCTAAAAGTCATGGCTAAAAGAATATTTTAGGACAAATATTGATGTTTGAAAAGGAATTGTAGGGAACCAGCCAAAGACCAGTCAAGGACCAGCATAGGCCCAGCCAGGGACCAGCTAAGGGTCCATCGAGGAAAGTGGGCAAATTTTGAATGGCTACTACTGTATTGATCAAGACTGCAAAGGCTGAAGGGGTTCTGTCTGAAAGTTGTGTGCAAAAGTTAACAACTCTGACTGTAACGAGCGACATCACGCCCTAATGGGGGTCATATTGAAATGCATCCTCCAGGAAATTTGACTGGAGGAGGAGCTTCAAAAGCAGTGACTTTAAGTTCATTTCATAAGGATACAGACAGAGTGGGACTATCAGTGGAAAAAATGGGCAGAATAAAACCTCTGCAGGTAAACCTTATTGTTCTAATGCACGTTTACAGAAAGTTGTGAAATGTTACGTCCATTCATCTGCATTGTTCTGCTTTTTATGGACCTTTACAAATAAAATTCACTCGTATTACTGCATGTAAAAAAAAAAACATTTTATATAATGAGGTTTTACCCAAATTACTCCAACTGTCTTGTTTAGATTATCCATAATGGCAGCAGGCCCCTAAAAATGCTAATTAATGAGATACTTTTCTGTCTAACATCTAGCTGTGTCTGAGTGTATAGCAACTGCAACTTCTGCTCTTGGCATCATTTAACCTAATTTGGTTTCTCTCTTTGGAAATGTCTCGTGACATATCAGGCAATGTCTCTTTACAAAAAGCTTGAAAATTAAACTCTGCTCCGCAAAACAGTAAATGGGACAATGTTGTTCCCAAAGCAAAACAATCATCCAAACAGAGAGGTAAATGTATCTTTAACTGTAAAGAATGGGCCTGTCTTGTTTGTCACTCCGTTTATTGAGAAAGGCCAACGCTCCAGCTGCCCTCTACGTCTACACAATGCCGCAGTTTCAACCCCAGCAGAGATAGACCTAACTACATCTAAGGCCTTGAGCAGCCCTGGGGAAATCTCTGAGAACTGCTACTGGGAATTTTTTGACCCACTGCTGCAACTTCTGCCTCCCAACCTCTACTTCCAAAGCATGGATGAATCAGCAGGGCTAAGGTGAACATGAGGTACTTCTGACACTGCAGCACTGTATCACAATTAACTGTTAAAATCATTAAAACATCTAGATTTAAGTGCGTCACTGATAAGTTGCTTTGAATTTAATTTTTTTTTAAAGTAAATAAACAGTTAAACTTTAAACAATTTCCTTTAAAAAGGGCAGTTTTGTGATCTGAAGGAGATTGTAGTTTATATTTTTTTCTGTCTCTGTTCTCTTGGCACTGATGACTGGATTATTGGTTCTTTCCTTTAACTTCCCCAGCTCCGCCCAGTTTTCTTTACCTTTCATCAGATCCACCTGTTCCAGCTTCTATTTAAAATGTTTTGGTCCCAGTGCCAGATTATTCATAGGTGAGAGATCTATAGCGTACTCTGATTGCCTGATCCCGACTAGTTTCTGCTCCCACACCTCTGTGCCTGCCTGCGGCTGTTCTCATCTGTTTGCCTGACTCCTGCTGGATTCTGCCTGCTTATGACCTTGGATGTCGCTCCAGATCCCGGCTTAGATTTCCCTTCAGTACCTTTTTGGATCTCTGATCTTCTTGCCTGAACTTCTGCTTCCTCATCAACACCGGATTTGGCTTCTCCTTCAGGAAGCTCTTCCTCGTCTGTTTGCTTCTGCTTGCCAGCTCTTGGCTTCAGCTCCTGGAATTCTCTGGGTGGCGTCCACCATGTCCTCTGGAAAATCATCCAGCTGGATTCCAGTCCTTCCTCTGGGCTTGGACTGAACTTTATAACCAAGTTAGTGACTAACACGCTGGTTATCGTCCTCTGTCAGAGTTACGTGGTCACTAACCCGTGTTTCAGTCAATAAATGTTTTTATAAATCACTTCATTCTCTCTGCCTGAATTCTGGGTCCAACGATCTGAGAATTTTCTATATGGTACTTATAAAGGCTTATTTTATTTTGTTCAACTGTTTGTCTTAGAGCGTCTCAGGTTATCCTGAGCTATCTCTATAAATATGCTGCTATAGGCTTAGACTGCTGGAGGACATAGGGACCCTTTTCATTCTTCTTCTTTATTCTATCTCTATTCACCCTTTCTGCAGTATTTCTTAGTTAAACCCCTAACTTTATGTTCTTTTTCCTTTTCTCTTCATTTTGCAACAATGTTAAATTAATAGAGCCCACAGATACTTCCATTCTGCCTCCATATTCTCACCCCCTCTTTGCTGCACCATCTGGAGCACGCATTTGCTATTTTGGAGCCTCCAAATGCGGTAGATGTCCCTCATACATAATGAATAGGCCATTATTTGTTAAAGGTTTCTAAAATGTTTATGAACTTGTTCTTTATTTTTGGTACAAAGATGAGGCTGTTTGTGTCACAAGTTCTTTAAAATCTAAATAGAATGTGGAGCCATGTCTGCTCTCGGTTGTAGTCATACTGATGCTGCTGACTGATTACATGTTGCCATATCACAGAATTACATTGTATTGATGAAATAATGTAAACTGGGCGATAGACTGGCATGAACAGCAGAATCCAGCCTACATCAGTGAATGATGCTCAGTCAGGAGGAGGACAGGCTGCTCTCACAGAGGCCCAACATAAAGTTCTGTTTTTTTTTTCTATCACCATTAAAAAAGAGAGAAGGAATCTTTTACATTCCACCTCAGCTCAGCTGCAGTAGTGGTGGTAGAGCTGGCAGAATGAGGTCATTTTCTTTGCCCCTGAGCGGGGAAGTGGAAGTTAAGGCCAGGAGAAGTATGGCTGCCTGCAGTAATGCAGATTTATTAGCTTCTATAAGTGTCTCAAGAACATCAATACGGTTCTTTTTATCAAAAACAACCTTAGCATACGAAAATAACACGGAAAAACGTATTTTTTTATGACCATCTGCCTCTTGTTTCAAAAAGTAAACATTAGAAATCACTGGAAATAACATACTGTAAAACTAAACAGTCATTAAAGGCTCTGTGGAAATGAATATTTCATAATAATTTTTTTCAACTATTCTGCATCACCTCTAGGCAGGAGGGTGTGGTTGATGGTCCAGATGTTCCTGTGCCAACCTTGTGGTAAAATGGTTGCCCACCCACGCATTAAACAAATACCCGTGATATAAAAAAACACTGCTTCAATGAGGAATTAGCTAGGTTTTAAAGTTTGTAAACGCTGAGGGCCACTCTCTGCTTTTAACTTTTCCCTTTGGGGAGCAGCGGGCTGCCATTGTGCGGCGCTCAGTGAGCAGTGTGGGGTTAAGGGTTTTGCTCAGGAACCCAGAGTGCAGGCTGTGAGAATCGAACAAGGTTCTTGCAACCTTCTCAGAGCACAAACACACAGCTCTAACCACTAGGCCAGGGGTTAGCAACTCCATACCTGGAGGAGCCGTATCCAGGAACTTTTAGGTATGCCCTTGACTTATCACACCTGAATCAAGTAAATAGATATTTAAAAGGTCTGTGGAGAAATTGATTGCATAATGGGAAGGTAATTAGACCATTTTATTCAGGTGTGTTGGATCAAGGATGAATCTAAATGTTATAAATGTTGCAGGAAATCGGCCCTCAAGTTGGCCACCCCTGCACTAGTCCAACACTTCCCAGGTGTATTGAGGAAAAAGTTTAGGAGAAGCTTCCAGATACATGCGAACTAAGGGAGGTTTGTATCCTGAAGGTCAGCAATCTCCACAGCAGCAGGTGTCATACATCTGAAAACGAGGCCCCAGGGGCCCCAGGGCACTACATGTGGCAGGGGAGGAGGATGAAGATGGGCCCTTAACCTTCTAACTGGAAGGCAACTAGTCATTGCTTTTCAGCCAGTCGTGTTTAATTTTATATCCTAAAGAACTTTTTCCATTAAGCCTCAATATTGAAGACAGCAAGACAAAAGAATTCGATTTTTGCTTGGGAAATGAACTACTGATATTTATTGATTATTTACTAATAATTCTTCTGTTAATTTTTTTATTAGAACACCTTAGGAAAGTGGTTGTTCCTCTCACCAATTAATAACTTTATCACAAGCTGAATTCTTGCAGAAACACACCATTTTGTCCCCCTCCAGCTTAAATTGATCAGGTCTGACCCAAAACAGGTCGACCAGTTACGTTGCAGTATTATAATTTAAGGTGGGACACAAAGCTGTGATGAAATCAACACCTGCTAAGCCCACAGCCAAATCAAACAAACATGGCAGTGTAAGGACATACACATAGCTGCTGCTATCAGATCAGTTTGTCAGAATCCACAATTTCTTCTTTGAAACTGGAACAGAATGAGAGTAAGAGTGCAAGTTGTTGTTGTTTCTCATGGTCTCTGCTGTTATTTCATTGATTACCATGATTGGCTGAAACTAAACTTTAAGTGTTGCTTCGGCCAATAAACCGAGAAGGTTCTGCTAAACATCCCTCCTCACTCTGAACAGATTTGATGGGAGCAGTCCCAGAATAACAAAGTGTAAAACTAAATCTGAGTGTTGCATATAATCTGGTTGCCAGA